CTTTCCCTTCTGTGTTACCACTTGCCTTGTGGTCTGTGTACCAAAAGCATCATGGACATAGCAAGTCTTGTCCTCCTCTATAGGCATGACAGCACAATGAAATCTCAGGTTGTGCTCAGGTCTTTTCCCATGTGGGATTTCAGTCAGCAGCTGGAATTAACTTTGAGTTGCCCAACTCATTCATCAACAGAGAAAATATAGAAATAACATCTCTGGTTTAAGTTGTCCAGAAGCCATACAGACACACAGCCCTCGGAGATGAAGAACTGGAGGCACATCCAGGGGTGTTTGCAGGATATGGGAAGTGGTTGTGTAACTGGCAGCACAGCAAGGAATGTACCCTTTTGCCTTAGATCTGTCCTCCAGTGTCCTACCAGCTCCTAATTGTTACAGAGTCAGAAGAGATACTTATGAAACAGGAGAGGGGGAAAGAAGTTGTTCAAATGAAAGGGATCCTGTTTCACAGAATTTAGTGTCTCAGGCTTAACTGAGCTCATCCCCTTCCCTTGTTACAAGGAGGTACTGCAAGCATATGCAGAGCGTTCAAGCTCAGTCCAGTCCCTTGAATGAGTATCTAGGTCAATTATAGAAAATTTTAAATAAGGGGAAAGAGCACTGGTGTTAAGAGCAAAACAGCAAAATGAAATGGAGAAGTGGACATGGTAGAAAATGCTTGTTAAAAAGATAGATTTAAAAATTTACATTTTAAAGAAACATGGCTTTTTAAATTGGTCTCTCAAATAACAGGAACAAAATGTTTAGTAGAATCTATTTCAAGAATGTTTAGTTATTTGTGATCTGTATTTCATATTTCCTTCACCTGGACAAAGAAAACAGGCAGTTCAGTTCTGCTTTCTCATTCTTTTATACAAGCTAGATATAGCAATGATTGGTTCCAGGCACATTACATTTTGAATTTAAAGCAAATAACAATAAAAAGTATTTTTAAGTAAAATCTTCCATGACTGTTAAGAATTAAACAACGCAGAAATATTGTCAGTGGTTTTCCTGTTAAATAAATTAAGATGGCTTTGAAAGGATCTTTTCTGCTTATGTTTGAGAACTTGTGTATTCAACCCTGAAACTAAAAATAATCAAGAGATTGTAAACATGTTATATAACTGCATTGTCCATACCCCCTAAGGTTTTGCCACATTACCTTTATTTTTCTAACATGTGAGAATTAAAGATTCTGTCCCCAGCCCACATTATCAATGCCTTTGATATCTTTGTTTGAAAGACCTGTATATTAGCCACTCTGCACCAGTATCTGGCAGTGAGATACCTTTTTAGTCTTTTTGGGAGGTCCATGTAGCTCTCTGTTACCAAACTGCCCCTGGATCAGCTTTGTCTGTGCTACTGAGCATAACTTGAGCCTTCCCTAAGCTTAGAATAAAGTTCTGTGGAATTGGCCACACCCACAGAGAAACTACACAAAGGTTCTTTTTTATTTTGTTTTTCTTTTTGATGCTTACCCTCTTCACTATGAATTTGGCTTTATCTCCTTTTCCCTTGAAGGTAACAAGCTCTACCCTGCTGACAGCACCAGTGTTAATGATGTAGTGCATTCTTTAACCAAGTTTTCCCATCCTTAAAAAAACCAAAACCCCCCCACTTAATTTTTACTGAGTCTGAATTTTCTACCTCTTATACCCTGCTGACAGCACCAGTGTTAATGTTGTAGTGCATTCTTTAACCAAATTTTCCCATCCTTAAAAAAAACAAAACCCCCCACTTAATTTTTACTGGGTCTGAATTTTCTACCTCTTGTAAGGGCTGTTTATTACATTGAAGACAAAATGCTTTCCTTAGCTTGTGGCTCTGGCAGTTTCAGCCCCTTGTTAAAGAGAGAAGAAAAAGCAAATATGGGGGGAAAGATGTTGAAAACCCTACAACAATTTAACATAGGAGAAAAGGTTCTGCTCTGCCTCCACATACTATTAATACTTGGTTCTGAGAATTTTTACCTTTTAATTATTTTCTGAAACTAATAATTAGGATGTGTTTCCTGCTTCCTTTCCAAGTGCAAGTGTTTGGAACCAAAAAAAAAAAAAATTAATATTTGTTACCAGTTGAGTTAGTAAATAGATATAGAGTATGCCATGAAATAATAGGGAAAAATGCTAGACTCTGCTGTTTGGTGTAATAACCTGTAACATGACATATTAGATACATTAGCAAGAGCTTTCTGGCTTCTTTCTTTTTCATTAAGCAGAGTTCTGCAGTTAAATAAACTGCTAGGCCTTGGTTCTGGAGAGTGCTTTAACACCTTGCTAACTGTAGGCTCTGGCTCTGGTAGGACTTCAGCGTCTGCCTGATGCTTGTAGAGGTGATTCCCTGAACAGAGACCAAATTATCAAAACACTGGAACAGCAACAGACCTTGCAGCCTGTGCAAGCCTGGTAAACATGTGGCTTCACAGCTGCTCAGTGTCATGTTGATGGTAAAGTTCCTCTTGGATCAAGCACCCAGTTCATGCCATTTCCTCTCCAGCTGTCCTTTCTTCTGACCTCCTGTTCGTGGCTGCTGCCAGTGAAGCCTGCAGGGTCTCAGGTCACCTGTGCCCTCCCCAGCTCTGTCCTGGAGGCGTGTCCTGCAGACCTGCCCCTCTGCTGGGACAGTCACACGTCTCTCAGCTGTCTGCACTGTGGCTACTCTAGCTCAGCTGAAATTCACTGCTCTGGGTTTTAGGTTATGGTTTCCCTCCGTCTCCCCAGAGCCCAGAATGTTGCTCTTTCTTCATTGATGCAGATATATGTCCAAACTCTTCTCACCTCATCTCTGTTTGGCTCTGTCGGTGCCATGGTTTGGGGTCAAGGCCACCCCCAGAACCCTAACAGACACTTTCTGTTAACCCCCTCCCACCACCCTGAAAGGGAAAAAGAAAGGGAATAAGGGAGAGAGACTCACTGATTAGAAAAGAAAAATAAAAAAGCTTTAATACTACCACTAATAATAATAGTAATAATGATGATAAAATGGAATATGTACAAATATATACAAAACCAATATCAAAACCAGCTCTCCCCCCCCCCCGATGGCAACATGTCACCGTCCCCCCTGGCTGGGGAGCAGCCCCTGGGCGACGGGAGGCTGGACTCAGCCACAGAAGTGACTGGGTAAAGGAGCTGGATTCTGGAACTCAGTTCAGCAACACAGGGCTCAGGATCAAAGACAGGATGGATGGAGTCCTCCTCGGGTGCCAGCCACTGCAGCAGAAGCCAAAGTGAGGAAGAAGGCAGAAGGGAGATGAAAGGGGTGATGGAAGGGCTTGTCCCTCCTGATCCTCCAGCTTTACTGGGTATGACAGCTGTGGGATGGAACACCCCACTGGTGAATCTTGGGGTCAGTTATCCTCCCTGCTCCTCCCTGCAGGCGTGGGGTGCTCTCTGTCCCCCTCCGTGTGGAATACGAGCTTTACAGTGGCCTTGGTCTGCACACCAACCCCTGGCAATAACTCTAAACATGAAGTGTTATCACTGCTAAAAACAGTTATGAAAACGCTGCTAACTTCAGACAGGACTGTTAATTACAATAGCTTTAGCTAAAAAGTTAAAATCATTGAACAGAACAGGTCTGTTTTACCCCAAACCAGGGCAGTTGGTTTCCTGCAAAATCTAGGTCAGTGTCCTTTGTAACTGTCCTAGCTGAATTGCTGAGCTGCTTTCCTTGCATCTTCCACCCTGCCTAAATGTTTGCCCTGACCACATTGCACACATGTGAGTACTCGTACTCTCAGTGAAACCCAGTCATCTGGAAGCACTTCCTGATGTTTTCTGTTACTGAAGCCAGATGAAATCTTTCTTCTGTTTTACCTCTTGTTTTTAACTAGCCCTTACCTCTTGTTTTATATTGTACTTCCTTTTGTCCTTGTTCCTCCCACACTCTAAAGCAATCACCAGAAGGGGTATGTGTTGGAGTGAGAGGTCTGGAGGGAGCAGCTGAGGAGGGAAGTCAGTGCCCCTGTTGCAGCTGACTATGTGTGAAGTTTACTTCAGAGAAGTCTGAGGTTCAAAGAAGTCCTGGTGGCATGAGATCTGGAAGACAGTGAGAAGAAATACAAGGCCCTAATAGACCCCACTTATACCTTAGTGACCTCCTGGCCAAAATGATTTGTGGCTTCATCACCCATGCTGGTACCACAAGGAAAGGGTTCAGGCAAAATCTAGCAGTGGTATGTGTGACAGAGTAATCCTGGAGGATAAAAACATATAGTATGATAGATAGAAGAAAAAGGGATCTTTTTTTCCTTGTTGCTGATGCCACTTTGTTTGCTCCAGCAGTACCAAACTGTTCAATCAGTAGTACACAGACATTTTAAGTAGTTACTATGAAATGTATTTACCACTAGTTCACACTTCTTTTAGACTGAGGGACTTACAGTGCTATATGAAAGCCAAGCATTTTCAGATGCCAATCAGCACCTTCTCTAAATTCCTGTACAGGTGTCTTGATCCAAGGACAGGTTGCATGACTTCATTTTGCTGGTTTGTTTTTGTGAATGACATCAAAGCTGTGAATTTCAGAAATGCTCAGAATAGTAGGGGAAAATAGTTTGCCTCAATGTTAGTCCTCAAAACCCCAGTTCCTGAAAGACTGACCTGTACACAGCTAAGGCAAAGACAAAAGCATTAACTGTAATAGTTTGAAAGAACTTCACAGAATCACTGAATGGTAAGGGTTGGAAGAGACCTCTGGAGATCATCTAGTCCAACCCCCCTGCTACATCAGGTTCACCCAGAGCAGCTTGCACAGGAACACGTGCAGGCAAGGTTTGAAAGTCTCCAGAGAAGGAGACTCCACAAGCTCTCTGGGCAGCCTGTTCCAGTGCTCTGTCACTCTCGTAGTAAAGAAGTTTATTCTCATGTTTAAGTGGAATTTCCTGTGCTAAAGAATGAGTTAAGGTCTGCAGCCTGTAAAACTTCTATTGCATTGGTTGAAGTCACTCAAGCATAATTTGAGAAATGCTCTAGTGTGGTTGGTAACGCTGATAAACCTCTGTCTCAATCTCCTGAGAACCACCAATCATCAAATCTCCTGGTGCCTGAAATAATGAAGTAGCTCAGTGACCACAAGCAGTCAGCTCTCTGAGAAGACAAAAGGTACAAGTGAAGAGGTAAAAGCTAATGGGAAGAAGAGGAAAAAAAAGAAAGTGTTGGAAAGTGTCCTGAAAAGCCATCACTTTTGCTTTTGCTATAGACTTAGATTGTATTTACCTGTCCCCTTTTGCATTTTCATTGCTGTGGCTGCATTTATTTGGAATCTTAACTCATGTCTACCAACAGTCTGTCCAGGTTAGTTTGTAGTTTGACTTCACAACAGAGGTAAAAAGAAGTATTCCCCCTTAGCTGTGGGAGTTGTGTCTGGTCAGCTGAGAGATTCCACTGTGTCCTTTTAAATAATGTTACCCTTCTCCTTTCTTCACTTCAGTCAAGGGAGATCATGCCATTAACTGGCATGCAAGTACAAAATTATTTGGTTTCCTCCTAATCTACTCGAGTTGGGTAGATCTGTGGTATGTATGAAGTATTTGTGGAGTATTTACATTCTTGTTTTCCTATTTCAGAATGGTTTCACTCCACTGTATATGGCAGCCCAAGAAAATCACCTGGAGGTTGTTAAGTTTCTTCTTGACAATGGTGCCAGTCAGAGCCTTGCCACAGAGGTAAAAGTTTGAATTTCACACTTATGAACAAAGTAAAACATGCTTCAGCTGTGATTTTTTCCAGTTTATATTAAACTAGTCTTTTAAATACAAAATTGGAGACCAATAAAAGGTTCTCTCTGCAAAATGTGCTAATGAACACTGAGTTATTGGCTTTCCAGCAGTTTAAACCATATCTTGCTATTCCTAAAATAAAAAATGACTTTAACTAGAAATGGTTCTAAAAATAGCTGTGTTCTTAGTCATAACTGGTAATCTTTCAGGTTAAGTGCTCACACAAGGAAGCTGTGTGCAGAATATAAATGTTCTCTGTGCTTTCATTAAAAACTGAGTAATGTGGAGGGTAACCACAAAGCAAAAACAACAGTTTACCTATGCTTTGGAGCCAGCCCTGGGATATATAGGGAAAACCCCACGGGTCCTTAGCATCTGGAGCATTTTCTAATCATTTATTGCCATGTCAATACCCTCTCTCTAGTACCTAGTTCTCACATCTGGTCTTGCAGTGATAATCTCAAACTGACAGAGAGATGCAAAGCCAATCCTTAAAGGTGTCCTGTGATCTTTCTAGAGGTGGAGTTTGTATTTTTGTCTCTAAAAAGTCATTCTAAATCAAATAAGGCAGCCTAGAAGGAAAAAAAAAATAGTATATATATTAATAGTTATAAAGATACTGCATTGAGATAGGTTTTTAATCTGATAAATTTTCAGTTGCCTTAATTCCAAGATTTTGCTGCCAAAAAGGCATTTTAGTGTGTGCGCTCTCTAATGTATATTAAGTTATGATTGCTCTATCTGAACTGATTCCTTGGAGAAAATAATGGTTTTTGCAAAATATGAAATGCAAAATTAGTTTATTACATCATTATACCTCACAGTATCACTGTATTATGATGTACGTATGGAATCTTTTTCTTCTCTTCTGAAGTCAGCATTGAAAAAAATTAATCACTAACGGATCAAAATTATGTTTTCAAAAACATAAAATTGATTTCAACTAGAAGTGTGCATCAGAAACTACTTTCTGGAAATGCTTAAAGGTCTGAAGGCCAAGAAATAGCAAAATTAAATATTTCATATCTGGAAAATTTATTTTAAATTGTAGTTTTTGGAACACTGATTTCTATTTCTTTGTAAAAACTTGGAAGCTAAGTCATCTCAGGACCTCCAGAGATGGACAATAGTTTCAGACTTTTGAAAATATTATTGCCACTGTATGCTTTTCTTTGATATTGATTTTCCCTTGAGCATTTTATGTCACTTTAGGTTGAACTTTTCTCCAGCTCAGCTTGATGATAAGGTGCAATCTAATTTTATCCATGGAGAATTCCTTTGAGGATACCAGACTACAAAACAATGTTGCCTTTGTTGCCTTACTTGTTTGTGATAGTTGCTTATGGCTGATTTTTATTCTCTGTTGGTCCAAATTTTCATATAAATCTTATTTATTTTTATCTTTGTAAATGCAAAAGCCTTTGTTATTAAACAGTTGCCACTTAACTAATTATTCATTAAAAAGAAAACACTTTAACAAACATCTTTTAATAGAAATTTAAAAAATAGAACCAACTATTTTTTTTAAAATTGTTTTTAGTTTTGGGGGTGGGGTTTTTTTTGTGGTTTGGTTTTTTTTTTTCCTGGAGTGGGCTTTGCCTTGTGTTTTAAAGTGCAGTTGCTCATTATAGCACTGACACCACGGTACTTGCTTGCAATTGCTTTTCATGAGTTGGCATCTTCAGAGAGCACGTGGTGGAAATTCATTCTTGTAGGTGACAATATTCTTGGTCACAGTTTGCATGGCCTTGGTACAGTGATCTCTGCACACAGTGAAATGATGGGCAGCTATCATCAGAGTTAGGAAACTCTGGGGATGGCATCTATTCTGGGATTGAAATGAAATGCTCCCTTCCACTGCTCCACTCCGTTTTTTCCTAAGGAAAGGAGAAAATTTGTTCCTAAGTTGTTTTGTTTTCTTTAGGTTTTTGTTTGTTTAGTACTAATATTACCAGCACTTTTAGCAGAAGAGAAAGCCCAAAGAGAAAAGACATTGTAGACAGCAAAACCAGTTTTCCTTGTGAAGTGGCTGACTCCCATTGCCACGGGCAGTATAAACAGACCAGGAAGCCAGTGTCTGTTGGTGACTACGATGTGAGCTGTTGAACTTGGGGTTTCTCCAGGCAGGAGCCTCCATTTCAGAGTAGCTATATTGCCAGAGCCCTCTTGTGGGGATGCTCATAGAGTTATTTTGGCCTTCAGAGCTACACAGCATTTTCACATTTTTTTCACAATTTAAAAAAATCCATGAAAAGGGAAAAAAAACCTGCTTTTTAGGACTCAAGGAATTTCAGTGATTTTTCTTCCTACCTCCAAAATTTTGAAAAAATGCTCTCTTTCAGAACTCTTCCTGTTTCTCCTCCTAAATTAAGATGCTCTTTAGCTGGTAAAGCAGAGAGATGAATTTCTTCTTGTTAGCATTACTTTTAGTTCCAGAAGTTAAAAAGTTAACATTTAAACTCTGCACTTCAGACATAGGGTGAGGGATCTACACTCTTCTGTGTGATTGCTGCACTTTTATTTTTCACTTTTACACAGTTTCACCATTACAGAAATAGTTGAAAAGTGAAAATGGTATTTATCTACTAAACTGTAATGAAGCTGGTAATATAAGCTTTGGATATATTGATAGTCAAATGTAATAAATAAATGTCCCAAGTAGAGTCATTTTAATTTGTGATTTTTTGAGTGAATTATGTGCATTACCTCGGGCAAAGCTGAATGTATTTCTGGATTGGAATGCCACTTTAAATGTTTGGGAAGGAGCAGAATCTTAATGACAACTCTTTCATTCCTTAGTTTTGTGAGAGTCCATGAAAATAAAATTATAAAAACACCTCAGACTTTACTTTTCATGTTTGAGGAATCCACTCGGGCTGTTAAACAAAAAATGTTCTATTTTTCAGGTTTCTTATTCTGCACTACTTTGGCTATTTGCTAGTGTGAAAGGAAAGAATTTCTCTTTGTAAGAGGATTGTCTTTCACATCTACATAAATTTGCATAAACTGAAGTTGTAGTAAAGTAATTGGTGTATTGGGAGACTGTGCTATTCATATACAAATATTATTGGATTTTAAATCCGCATACGAAACAAATCAGAAGATAAAGCTGAAGTGTTGGCTTGGTTTGGTTTTTTTTTGTTAGTTTGTTTGTTTTTTCCTTAAAAAAAAATAGAAAAACCTGCAGTTTTTGGGAAATGGATGATAATTTGTTATGGAAAAATCCTTGTAATTTTATTTTTAATATTTTCACCTTTTATACCTTTTTATATAATTAGACATACTTGTTTGTGTATTCATGGGTAATTTCACTTTTTTTTTTCTAAACTCTCCACCATTTTTCTTTGCTTGTGTCTTATAAATTTATGTTTCAATCCAGAGTACCAGAAAGATGTTTTGAGCATCTGAAGACCTAGTTCAGCAACACTTTACTCCAATTTCTGTGTCATTGCAGGGTACTTTTAATTTGCATCGTGTTGCACTTTGCGTTTGAATTTGAGCCAGTACCGTTACTAATGCAGAGGTCTCTTCCCTTCCCCTTTCCACCCTCTGGAAAGCTTGGAACACGTGTTGAGAGTCCCCATTGTATGTTGCAGGACGGTTTCACGCCTCTGGCAGTAGCTTTGCAGCAAGGTCACGACCAGGTGGTTTCACTGCTGCTTGAAAATGACACGAAGGGAAAAGTCCGTCTGCCCGCCCTCCACATCGCTGCTCGCAAGGACGATACCAAGGCAGCAGCTCTGCTCCTGCAGAACGACCACAACGCTGACGTGGAGTCAAAGGTCAGTTGGAAAGGGAAATAAGGTCTGGTGCTCTTCAGCGTTGATCAAATGTATTGCATCCAGTGAGGATCTCCCTTAGTGGGAAATATTTTGCTGCAGACTTACACGTAATTTTCTCTTATAGTGTGTGATCAAGAGTAATATTTTGTTTGCTTCCTTTGCCTCTTTCTCCCCTGTTCCCTTTTTGTTTCAGTCAGGGTTAATTTCTCCTGTAGAAACTTCACAAAGGGAAAAAAAATAAGCAAAATATTATTAGAATTATTCTCTTGGGAATGCAAGCCACTCCTGCAGTGGGGTGCTATAGGCATAGTACAATTAAGTCATCTGATTAGTTGTTTGTGCAGTCGCTACTTGAAGAACTTGGGTGAACACGTAACAATGAGTGTTTCAAGTACTTGGTCATTCAGCTTCCATTCAGCTGAGCTTCCTCTGTGTGCTGATTGTGCTGTCATCTGAGCTGCCATGCCACATAGAGATCATGAAGCTTGTTGCATCCATATCACCAGTGGTGAACTAACCGTTCATTTTTTCCCCCCTCTTTGCTTCCAAATGTGTTAACCTAGATGATGGTGAATAGAACAACAGAGGTATATATACATATATATATGCATCATCACTCCTCCATGACTTAGTGCTGCTGCATCATTTCTTCCTTCTCCTTTTTGCATTGCCTTTTATAGGATAGATACCTGCTTTAGATGAAATGAAGTAGCATGTGCTAGAGAAGACTGTAGTTTAGATACCAGGGCTTTCTGCAGCTAAAACTAGGTTTTAAAAGTAAGAGTAAGTGTTCTTGGGAACTAAATGCTATCATAAAAGAGCTACATTATACAAGATGGAGTTTTCAGGGATTCACATCTGTTTATCACACGTGTTAAGAGCTGCAGACAACCCTGTCACGTTGTGCATCCAGGTCTGATTTTAGGCTTCTGCATGACACTTACCTTGATAGTGTCAGCGAATAGAATGATCTGAGACTGGTTCTATATCTGCACAACTCCCAAAGCAAGGCAGTAGCAGCTAGCATGGCTTGCTAACAATTTAGAAATGCATCTAGTTCCCATAAGGTTTCATACTTTGCAGGACTGATGGAATTGCTGCATGTTTTAGCATTATTTTAAAAGGAAGTAAAACTACTTAAATATGAAAATAAGTTGCTGAAGTCATTTTATCAGTAAGGCATCTTCTAATTAGGGTGGTAACTCGTGGTGTCTGAACATAACCCAGTGTGATTGCCTACAGTGGGAGACTGATCCTTATGGTACTAACCCTTGGAAAAAAAAAGTCCGTATTAATAATTTAAAATTGTCTTTGATGTTGTTTTCATTTGCATATACTTTGAATTTATAAAAAAACAGTTAGCAACTATCATTAAATTACTTGTGTCTGAAACTCTGTAAGGAATCTCTAAGAGATTTACATTGTAAGACTGACATGATACCAGTAACAGTAGATATTTCTCCATGTAAATTAATTTTGTATAAAAGATCATTGCTTTAATACTCAAATGTCTTGCTGTTGTTTTTCTGGAATAGCTGAGAGTTTTATTCTACTTCTGGTCTTCTAGAATAAATATGTTAATTTTCTTCCCTCCTGCTTAGCAATAGGATTTTGTTTACACTCTCTGAAAGCCTATAAATAAACGGTAGTGAGCGAAAACCAGTTCAGAATTTGTGAATACTTGCAGCAGAATGATGTTACTAGCTTTTGTCAGTGATGTGATGCAAATTTTGGAGTACCAATAACATATAAAAAAAATAAGTATCTATTGGTTTTGTTTTGTTTTTCCAGAGTGGGTTCACTCCCCTCCACATAGCTGCTCACTATGGAAATATCAATGTAGCTACATTGCTGTTAAATCGGGGTGCTGCTGTGGACTTCACTGCAAGGGTAAGTGTGAAATCTTAGTTAAGCTGACTGGTGGCTTCTTGCCTGGGGACTGGGTCCATCCTCCCACAGGCAGCTGGACTGCTCTGTGAGCTTGGTGTCAACAGGGCCTCATCTCATAGAACAGGCCAAATTTTTGACTATATCTGCTGCCAGCTGTTAAGTCTGTTAGAAGATCAGAGAGGAATATTAGAGTGAAGGAGTGTGGTTAGGGTAATGAGGATGTGGGAGCAACAGAATGTTCACAGAAGTGTAAAGGACAGAAAATGACAGAGGGAAGTTATATATAGTTGGAAGAGGAGGAAAATAAAGAAATGTATATGGACAGGGATACAGCAATACGAAGGGCAAGGAAAGAGATTGTGTCAGGCATGAGACCAGAAACAGAAGGATGGAAAATGCAGAGGTAACCCAACATTTAATGAGCAGGATAGAGGGCTAGAGAATGATAGCGGGGAGAGGACAGGGGTAGAAAGTTGAGTGTGTGCCATGAGAGCACACAAGGCTTTAAAAAGGGAGAAGCAGGGAGGGTGACTGGGGACATACAGCTAAACAGAAAAGGGACTAACATTCAAAATAAGTTAGCACTGGAAAATGCTGGAGCTAGAACTCCCTACTGAAGTTCTTAAAAAATTTATTTGCTCGTTGGCTTCTTCAGTAAGGGTTTGGGCTGTATGAATGAGAAGATGCCTATGGAATTTCTGCTGACACACAGTCAGGAGCTGTTGTCAGTACAGAAAATGCAACAGAACATGGAAATGTGTTGGAATTCATAATGGAAAACAGATCAAACTCTTGGCTAAAGAATGCATGTATTTCTCCTGTTGGTTTCTCCAGGAATCTACCAATCAATAAAGGGGAGGACCTGTCTATATTAGTTGTTCAGTGGGTGATATATGTGATAAGGTTAGGGGAAAAAAAAAAAAAGAAAAATGTGATTTCAAGTTGTTCCAAGGCATTTCTGATATAGACCAAAACAACCAACTGAAGAAAAAGAACACCCAAAACAAAACAAAGCACACTAAAGAACCCCACCAAACAAACAAACTAAAAACACCACCAAAACAGAGGCTGCAATTTGGCTCACCAGACCTCACCAAAACAGAGCCAGGGAGGAGGTGTGATAGTGGTCCCTACGACAGCAGAGAGAGAAACTCAGTGGAGCAAGAGCCATTCAAACTGAAGGCAAATGCTGACATAAAAGTAATTAGGTATAAATTGGCCATGAATAAATCATTATCTGTAAATGTATATTTTAATATTAAGTATTAATAATATTGTTTA